ATATTTATATATTAAACTATTTTGTTCAAGAAATTAGACGTTGGCAGAATTAATATCTATATACTTTCTTTGGAATTTCGCATCACCGCGTTTACTGATGAATCTTTGTCCCGAGGATCGTACGAGCTAAGCAGAGCTGCTTTTAACTTTTCTCTATAACGGACCGCGTCGTTCGTTGAGCAGTAAAAGGAAAACGTCGATGCTCGTTAAAAAAAAAATAGCTTTTTTTTCCCCGCGTATATATCAGGTGCGCGTACGCGCACCAAGGTGCAATCAGCTTCCGGTCGGTACGCGTGTTACGATTTAATAAATCAGTTTAAGCGTAAATAAGTTTAAGCGTTTGTCGCGCGTAACGTTAAGTCCCCGATCCGACGAGCGCAAGAACTGAGCATCGTCGTTTATTACTTATTCGCGCTAGTGGCAAATTGCGAAATCAGAGTAAATCTCCCGTGAAGAACATATGCGCGTTATATTTATTCCCAGAATATTTATAACGTCCCCCTTCTCCCCTTTCCCTTTGAAAATATATCCGTAAACGCATCCGTAAATGCAGTGGAAGTGGATGAAGCGTAGCCAGAAATTGGCCATGAACATTTTTTATTATTCTTCTAATATGGCGAACGGAATTACGTATCAACTTATATTTTTTCGTTTATTATTTCTCATATACGTCTGTTATTCTTTTTATTCTTTTTTCTTCCTTCGAAATTGCACGCCGATGAGGAAGCATGCACCGCTAAATCATAAGATTCATCATATCTACATGACGCGTAGTGACATACTTTCTATTACGGTTGTATCCCCGGAGGCTGTACATCAGCTATAATTCAGGATTCCTCTCTTTCTCTTATTTTTCGTAGAGACATGTTCCGGCATTCCGCTTGATTCCGGCATCTCAGAATCTTCGTGATGAAGACGCAGAGAAACGAAGACTGTGTTACTGATATCACTTTAATAATAATTCAACATTTCTCAGAATGAATATGCAGGAGGTCGTGCGTTTGAACTGAAATTAGACTTGAGAATGAATTATCGAGGTATCTCGTATCGAGTGGGATTGTCTTCAGGAGAGATACTCTAGAATTTTTTCCAGAAAATTTATGACTGAAAAATAACGCGGAAAATTTCCAAGAGGCGCAAAAGTGATTAGACGCAGTATACAATACTAACTGCACTGTTTCACGACTACGAATGTACGAAGGACTATGAAATCGACTAACGCACGTTTACAAAGCGAGTATGTAAAGGGTAGCGCAATCATGTTCTTCTTGTGGCGCGTAAGAAAGCTCACAGCGGCAATCTGGACGAGAGAGAGGGCAGGCGGAAGGGTGAGAAGCGCCATTCGAGAACGGAGAGTGAAAGCAAGAGAGAAGAAAGAGACAGAGAGGGGAGGAGGGCAGAGAGAGAGAGAGAGAGAGAGAGAGAGAGAGAGAGAGAGAGAGAGAGAGAGAGAGAGAGAGAGAGAGAGAGAGAGAGAGAGAGAGAGAGAGAGAGAGAGTAGAGACGAGAGAGTAGAGAGAGGAGAGAGTAGAGTAGCGCGAGAGAGAGAGAGAGAGAGAGAGAGTGTGTGTGTGTGTGTGTGTGTGTGTGTGTGTGTGTTTGTGTGGGGTGAAGGGGGGGACGGAGCGAAAGAGAGTCGTGCATTTCTCCCACCAAAGGGGGAATCACAATGCCAAAGCGAGCCCGTATCGTCGTCAGGCCGGCCGACACGAGCGATAACAGTCAATGCGCTAAATGCATCGGAATCGAATCTGGGCGATTCATTTTCGCGCCGGCCCGGCCCGGTTCGGCCTGGCTCGGTATAACTCGCTCTCGCGTGTCGACATCGTGATATTTGCCCGGATCAAAAATCTGTTCCCCCAGAAAACGTCGGGCAGAACGGACAAACATTGATTGTGTCAACAACGAACGGTTCTTATTTTTTTCTAGGTTCAAGATTCTGGAGTATTCTTGCGTACAATTAATTAGATTTCGAATTTATATACAGGATGTTTTAAAGGTGCAAGTCGATCGGAGAGTGATTGGGAACTCAAAAACAAGAAAAAAAGTTGGTGCGAACATAGATCCAGAATTGCATTGTTTTCGAATTATTGTCATTTTTATATTAAAATTTTAAATTGCTTTGCTTTCGAATTTTTTTGTCAAAATTGGAAGAAGAGATGGTTTTTATGAGTTTTATAACATAATTAAAGTTAAATAAAAATTGCGGGCTGCTTTAGCACTACACAGGATGCATCATGTGGAAATACAGCTCGCCTAGCATCTCTTGGCAGAAATCAGGACTTCACAGTTGTGCATCCTGAATAGTGTTAAAGCAGCCTGCAACTTTTATTTGACTTTAATTATGTTATAAAACTCATAAAGACCATTTCTTCTTTTAATTTTGACAGAAAAATTAAAAAGCAAAGCAATTTCAAATTTCAATGTAAAAATGGCGATAACTCGAAAACAACGCGTTTTCGGACCTAAGTTCATATCAATTTTCTTTCTTGTTTTTGAGTCTCTGTTCATCCTCCGAATAATTAGGAGTTAACCTCGATTTAATACCTTGTAAAAATCAGATATTAAATCAGAAATGATGGCTTGATGCAAAAAAACTTGAGAAGAAATTTTTTTCTACAAACCCCGTAATATTATCTTTCTTTTTCTGTCTCATCTAATTAATTCCGCTAATTCCGAGTCAGACTCTGATTTGACTGAGCGGCAGGTTGATTATCGGCGGCTCGATTTCGTGTTATTTATTTCACAGCTTCGTCAATCTCCATGCATTAATTATTTCGAGAATTGTCACCTGTCGCCGCGCGAATGCCCGTCGCGGCAGTATAGATATTTCCGTGCGTCAGCATACCGCGACGTTTATGTCCCAGAGCGTGGCATCGATAGGGCCAGGCCATTTTAATTTCGATTGCATCCTATCGGCCTATACGCGTCGCGGCATAATTCCGCGTGTCGTAAAAGTGCGAACGGCTCGCGCGAATCGATCCCCCCATTGTTCATGACGAAGTAATTTCGCTCTGGTTGGCTCGCGCAACACGAACTTCCACTATAATTAAATCTCCGCGTGTCCTCTGATTGCTTCATTAGCGCATTACTTGTCATTCGTTGCGCCAACGATTGCGCAACGATTGTAAAAGAGGCAAACAGTAACCAACGGTGAAAATATCGAAAAGAGGGAAAAGAGTTGCAAATCTGCTCGACACGACACCGACACGACGAATCGAAATACAATTGAAGTGTACAAAATTCAATAGCGCGATTAAAAAAAAATTTGTCAGTCCATTTACGCGATTTAAATAAATTTCTATGAAAATTGAAATATTTAATATATTGTATATAAAATGAATGATGTTAAAGAGATATAGCGAACAAATTGAATAATATCACTTTAAAAATAACTGAAAGCGCGTGTACATAAAAAATATATTTTAACAGAAAAAAATATATGAAAAAATATAATAATTATATAATTCCGAAAGTAATTCAAGAACCAACTCTTCTTTAAAGAGTAAACGAAAATGTGTGAATCACGCACATTTTTTTTCAGTTAATCTTTTAGAATTGTAGCTAATTTGAATCCTCGTCGATAAGTCACTCGACTGCGCTGTAGGCCTTTGTAGGCTGATGAAGTACATACCGTGTGCGGCGACCAGTGGTGAGGCCAGGTTTTGGTCTCGTGACTGCTGCCGACCGAGGGTTGACTTGCTAAAAAGACGACCCGTCTGTCGGTGCTGCCGGTTCCGGTGCCGCTGGTGGTCAAAAGGGCCGCTCTGGCCCTCGAACCGCCGATGCTTAACGTCGGTGACGTGTCCATTACGCCCTGAAAGCCAGACGCATTACAAGGGTCGTCGGTCCTCGAAGCGAACATTCGAAATCGTGTACTTCGTAATAGCGCCAGCAATTCTCTTCCCACAGTATATATAATATACTTAAATTATATGTGCAACTTAAATTATTTTAAAAATTGGTATTTCCATTGAGATATGGCTTGTCCCTTGAGAGCAATGTTTTCCGTCCACTTGTTAAAGGATACGAATATATGGAAGTTATTTGCCAAAGTATTGCGATTTTGATTAAAATGCGCTGCGGTTTGCGCAAGGAAAATATATACATTGTATACAATTTTTTCTTTATCTCACCGGACGGATTTTTGACTACTCGCACGAGAGAAAAAGAGAGACGACTTTTAGCGAAATCCAATGAGGGTAATGAAGCCCGTCAGCTGGAGGATGAATGCAACCGCGAAGAACGCTGAAAATGTGGCTTTCGTGTCGAATGTACTTCTCGAGGAAAGACTTCTTATTAATCCGAGCTTTCCCACACCGATCTTCGGTATTCATCGACACGGCGGGCAACGACTATATTTTAATATCATCGTGTCTTTAATACTACCCTCCACGCGATCAATAATGCATGAAACCGCGTGTTCATTTTACGTTTGATTAAAATTAATGACAAAGAGTAATGAATAAAGGGAATGTCGAAGAGCAAGAATGAAAATTGCATCCCATTACTTAATTTCAGTGTACGTGAGTCCACGTTCCAAGTTAACATTTCCCAGCAACGTTCCCAACCCGAGCCGCTGGTTTCTTAAAAATTTCATTACCCTCTCTCGGAAAACCGCTGCCGCCGCCGCGCGCCGCATTACCCTTTTTCCTCTCCATCCCTCTTATTTTCGCCACGCTTGCGCGACGTGGCTGCGATTCGTAAGGAGGGATCGACCGGCGGCGTGAAATACGGCGATCCAACAGCATCGCTACCGTCGCGAATGAAATCCGATGAGCGTAATCGAGCTCGTTAGACCGTCGAGATGAAAACCCCCGAGCGAGCCACTCGTACGTCGGCGAACATTGCAAAGCTCGCGAGGGATGGGGAAATGGAGCGCGCCGGGTGTACCGGGACGAGGAAGAAAGGCGGAGGAACCGAGAGTGCCGCGTTTTTCAGCGGGATTTACGGATCGTCGGCGAACATTAAGAGGAATGATGCGCGACCGCATCCCGCACGAACACGCGACAGATGAAAGAATAGCGGGGACCGAACGACGATCGAAGCCGGTATGATCTCGCCACGTTAAATTTTCAAAAGTGAAAATGAAAATGTTACAGCAATTGTTACAGTCGAATAAATGTAATCTTTCGATACATAATGATGCGGAACAAAAGAGAAGAAATTATAATGTTAGATAAATCTGACTGTTACAATATTGTATAGAGATTTGTGAAAACGTATTCAGATTCGGACTATTTTTAATGCGAACTCTCGGTATCACAAATTTGCTTTTTCTCTGTAAGATTTAATCAGAGAGAAAACTAAACGGTTAATAATTAGGTAGGCGTTAATGATTGAGTAAGCGCTTTATCGGAGCGTCGCATTTAGATGTATTCTGACGTCATATTTGCCCTACTGTCGCCCATTATCCTATCGATTTCATGCCGTGAAACAAACGAGAGTACGGGAAGGGAAAAAGGAAGTGGAAGGAAGCGAAGGATAATCGCGATGAGATAGAAGAGAAGGGGGGACGGGACGAAAATAGATGATAATCGTGAAATTGACCTCACCTTCCAATTGAATTCTTTTCAACGACCGAGTACGCCGTGAAAATGCCGATGATCCGCACCCGAGCGTGTTAACGATCAACCACCTCGTCGGATCGTTTGGCCGAGAGGTACCAGGGACGAAGTTCGCCGGGGTCGCGACCAACCACCCCCCTCCCCTCCGTATTCAGATTTCAACCTCACGTTAGCCTCTCCGCGTCTCTCCGTCCACCCTCGCGTCTCGGGGCACCTCGGGGTCCTCCACTTCAACCAGGTAATCCCCGTAGTCGCGTGCACCTAATCATTATAAACGGAGGGTGCGGGTGGCGCTGCTAGGTGTCCCTTAAATCGTTCCAGCTCGACGTCGGCTCCTCCTCCGCGCAATTACGAGTCATTACGAACGGGATTCCACCGTGGCAACACACACGTACACGCGACCCGAGGACTTCGCCAGCCGTGCTCGCCAAAGTGCGTGACGGTTATTTACGGCGGGCTGACGAGCGAGAATCGCGTCGGGCAGGTCAGCGGGCTCGTTTCGCTGTAATGACAATAATAAAGATAACGACGACGACAATGGCGACGATGACCGGGTCGGGGGCGAAATTCCTCAGGAGATCGTCGTTTTGGCGCGATGCATTTCGTAAAACACGCCTGTCGGCCGCGTGACGTGCCGAAGAGGGTGTTGTCAGCTCGGAACGGAGCGGAGTGGAACAGCGTTTCCGCCTGACAGCCGCGCGAAATCCCGCCAACTTTGTGATTTACTATCGCGTGGCTTTATCGCGGCACGAGCTCCTATTTCGCGGCGGGATGACTGACAAGCCACCTGTCTACCGGTGGGACCCCGGGCTTTAGTCAGGTCTGAAGATTAATCCTCTCCCGGCTGCCAAACTGTTTCTATTATACCCGCGTCATTTTGACGCCGTCGGTCGTATTATTCCGTGCGAGTGATTATCGAAGGGTATCAGGCTCCAGCATGTTTCTATCTAAACGCGTGCCAATCGCGCGTGTCGAGCTTTCCCATGATCAATGCGAGTCTCGATGTTTCTCGTTTGCGACTCGATCTCCCAATCCCGCGATCGTCGTTGCATTACGATTTTCCGCGCGGCGAGATCGATCGTCGAGCTCGATCGTCACTGCGAGGAGGATCTCGCGATGGGACCTCCGGGGCTGAAGTGTGCGCCGCGTGTACGATCTGTCACCGATCTGTCGGCGAGAGAGCGTGGCGCGCGACTCGTGTTCCGACACAGTTGCCACCTCACCAAGCGCCGCGTACGGAATCGCGCACGACACTGAAGCGACAGGAAGCCTCGCGCTCGAGGCGAACCTCTCTCGCGGATTCGCGGGCTCACGTGTGAAATTCTTGCGCATGCACCGACGCCTTCCATCCCTCCTCATCCCCTGTTCGCGCCCTCGCTTCGCGTCGCGTCGCCCGCACTATCTCGCTCTACCCTTCAGAATTCCCGCTTCTTCCTTCCTGCACTCTCGCTTGTCCCTTCATCCCCTTCTCTCTCTCTCTCTC